GTCCCAGAGCCTCACTGGGAATTTGTGACGTCCTGGTTGTCCAAGAACCTGGTGGGGACATTGTCCCAGAGCTCCAGGGGGACGTTGTGACATCCTGGGGGTTGTCCCAGAGCTCCAGGAGGACATTGTGACACCCTGGCTGTTGTCCTGCTGCCCCACAGGGACTTTGTGACATCCTGGTTGTCCAAGAACCTGGTGGGGACATTGTCCCAGAGCTCCAGGGGGACGTTGTGACATCCTGGGCATTGTCCCAGAGCTCCAGGGGGACGTTGTGACATCCTGGGCATTGTCCCAGAGCTCCAGGGGGACGTTGTGACATCCTGGGGGTTGTCCCAGAGCTCCAGGAGGACGTTGTGCCATGCTGGCCTCTCCTGCAGACCTGGTCCCGAAGCCCCGCGTGGTGGCCACCACCAACGGTGACCCTCGGCAGTGCAACGCCACCCTGAACTGCTCCGTGGCCCTCCAAGGTGTCACCTACGAGTGGATCCCACCCCAGAAGCCCCTGATGAAGGAGGGCCCGGTCCTGAAGGTCTCCTTCAACCCCGCGGTGGAAACCTACGTGTGCAAGGTCAGCAACCCCGTGTCCTCCAGCAACGCCTCGCTGACCTTCCGCCACCCCTGCAGCTGGACAGGTACGGCCACGGCTGGACACAGCTCCGGGCAGGGGTGGCCTGGGCTCTGGGGGGCCCCAGAGTGGCTCTGGGGGGGATTTGGGGATTTTGGAGGGATCCTGCAGAATTGTTTGGGTTGGGGAAGAGCCCTGAGGTCATCGGTCCAAGGTGGGGCTGACCCTGTGAGGTCACCCAGAGGGATCTGCAGGGGTTCTTCGGACACCTCCAGGGGTGGACACCCCGAATCTCCCTGAGCCCCTTCCAAGGCCTTTTCCCCATTCCCAGGAGGAATTTCCCCAAATTTCCCACCCTGAACCTCCCCTGGCATAGCTTGGGGCTGTTCCTCTGTCCTGATTTTGGATTCCACCTCAAAATTGATTCCACTGTGGTGTCAGAAGATTCCTCAACACCAAAACTGAGCCCAGAGGGGATCTGGAGGTCCCTAAACTCAAAAATCAGCCCAGGAGTGGTCAGGGGTCCCTTTTTCCCTGGGAGCAGATCCCAACCCCGAGGTGGATCCCGGGGGTGGTGGATCCCTTTTCCCTCTGCCCCAGGTGGGTCTGGGGAGGGATCTGGGGACCATCCCAGAGCTCCTGGATCTGCCTCTGCCTCCAGATGAGAACTCGTCCGTCGCCTGCGCCACACCCAGCGGCCGCGTGGTCCTGGGAGCCTTCGTCCTCCTCTTCCTCCTGCTCAGCGTGGCCTGAGGGTCCCACGGGTGGCTCCTCCACTCATCTCCTCCCGTTCCACCACCACGGGGCCGGCGTCCGGACCCAGATCCCGAAATCCTCCGGGCACGGAAAACCAAAATCTGTGGGGAGACCCAATCCAAGATCCCGAAATCCTCCGGGCACGGAAAACCAAAATCTGCGAGGAGACCCAATCCAAGATCCCGAAATCCTCCGGGCATGGAAAACCAAAATCTGCGAGGAGACCCAATCCAAGATCCCGAAATCCTCCGGGCAAGGAAAACCAAAATCTGTGGGGAGACCCAATCCAAGATCCCGAAATCCTCTGGGCAAGGAAAACCAAAATCTGTGGGGAGACCCAATCCGAGCCTGTCCTGGGGTTTCCTGGAATTTTGGGGGGATCATTCTTTTTTTGGGATGGCCTCGAAGGGCGGGGCCTTTGGCGCTCCCAAAGGTTAATTTATACATTAAATTCCATCTGAACACCACATTTTTAGGGTTTTCTGGATTTTTCCCTGGGCTGGGACATCCCACGGCTCGGGGATCAGGGGATGATGGAAAAAGCTCGGAGGTGTTTCCTCCCAGCCCCGTTTTTGGGACAAAATCCCTTCCTTTGGCCCCCAGAGGAGGACCCGGCTCCGGAGGGTGGGACACGGATCCAGCAGGGTGGGAAGAAATCTTGGGAATGACGGAGATGATCCCTCAGACTCCAAAAAAAAATGTGGAAAAGTTCTAGCTCCACCAACCCAGCCCAAAAAAGGGGGAATATCAGGGGTTTCACCTCCATAAATCCCAAAAATTTCCACTTTAAGCAAGGATTCCCAAGGCTGGAATCCTAAGGGTCAACAGGGACCTCTTTGGAAAATTCCGAGTAATTTTTGGGGTCTTGGTCCATTCCCATGTGGAGATTTTGAGCTTTTATTCCACTTAGAAAATCCAGGATATATCCAAAAAACCTCTGGAAATTAATAAGCATTGATCCTGCTGCTGAATCTCGGGCGAGTTTCCAGCCAGAAAATTCCAGGATGAGTTGATGGGGAGAAGAAAGGATTTAGGGTCATTATTTCCACTTAAAAGAGGTTTTTCCTGCTATTTTATGCTCCTTGTTCCCAAACATGCTTCCCAAAAGGAATTTTCTTCTGGATAATTTCATTCATTTTTCCCGCCTGGTGCCAGCCAAGCCCAGGTGGGGAAAATTGCTTTTTGGGGGGATTTTTTGGCTTTTCTGGACCATTTCCTGGTTCAAAATTCTCCTTTTGGGATCTGGGGGTTGAACTGGTGGAGAAATCCATGGAGAAATCCAGCCTGGCCAAGGGAATTCCAGGTGGGATTTGTGCCTCTAAACACACCCCAAAAAAACCCCCCAAAAATCCCCAAATACCCCCAAACACGCCAGACCCAACAACTTTGCCACCCCAAAATCCTTCCGAGCTCCCATTCCAGAAGTTTCCAGGAGGAACCACGGCTGTTTTTCCTGGATTAATTCATCCTGCTCTTTCCCGTCCATATTTTTTCTGTAAAAGTCTGATTTTTGGGAAATGATGGCTTTGGGTTTTTACCTCATCAGGTGCTTTCTCAACAAGGAAGGAGGAGCCTCACAGGATGTTCCGGGTGGGTTTTTTTGGGGTGGTTTTGGGGTTTTTTTTTGCTGTTTAAAAATCATTTCCCGGCAGCAAAACCTCGTGGAAAACTCCGAGCTGGACTTCCCTGGAAAGCAGCGGGATGTGACCCAATCCTGGGATTGGATTTGGGCTGAAATCCTGGAATTTTCATCCCTGGATGTGTCCAAGGAGCTGCAAGGTGGGAGTTGGAGACATCTTGCATTGTTGGATCCTGGAGCTCTTCTCCAGCCTCAGGGATCCTGGAATTCACACTCAGAAAATTGGGAAAAGCAGTGAAATTCGGAGAAAGAAAAAGGCAAAACCCCTTGGATTTCAAAGCTGTTCCACCAAAACCAGCCAAGATTTTCCAGCAGGAGATCCACAACTGGATTTTTTCCTGGTTTTTCCCAGCCATTCCACCGGGAAGGACCATCCCACCCCCAGCTAATCCCAAATCCACCCAAATCCACCGACAGCGAGGATTTGGCTTCTCCCAGGTGAGTTTTTGGGGACTTCCCATCCTTCTCCTCCTTCTGTGGATCCCGTGGAGCTCCAAGCTGGGATATTCCCAGGAAAATTGGGGTTTTCTCACCTTTCTGGGTGGTCCCACCCCTGGGGAGATGGAGCAGATTTTGGGATGCTGCGAGGAGCCGCCCGCATCCTTTAGCGGGATCGCTTTGAAGCTTCCACCCCTCCAGAGCTGGAAAAATCCACGAAATTCCTTCAAAACCGAGTTTTCCCTGCTTTTTTTCAGAGCGGTTTGAGGACCCCCAGCAGGATGAGGGAATTCTGGCCGAAAAACCAAACCCAAATTTTCTGCTTTTCTCCGCAGCTTTTTTGGGGCACGAAGCACAACCCCGCGCTTTGAATAATTTCCGACCGAAGAGGATAAAAGGCAAAAATTTGACTCGGTCGGCCCCCAAAAAACAGGAAATGAGAGGCCTGGAGGTGAAGGTCTTCCTGTCACCACTTGCCCGGAGCTCCGGAGCGCCGGAGGCTCCGTGAGCCCGGGATGGGCTCCGGCGCTTGGCTCCGGCTCCTCCTCACCCTCGGAGCTCTTTGGGGTATGTGGCGTTTCCTCCCCAATTTTGGGGGGTTTTGGGTGGTTTTTATCTTAAATTGTGGTTTTTTTGGGTGGATCTGAAGGGGGTTTAGGGGTTTGGGGCAGAGGTGCTGCAGGTGGGATGTGAGGAGTGTCCCTAAAAATCTGCCAGAGGGAGGAGGGGATTAAAAGGCGATGGGAAAAAAATCCAGCTGGAAAAGTGAAGGATTTGGGTGAATTTTAGCGGGTTTGTGGGAGCCCTGAGGGATTAATTCAGGGAGGGAGGGAGGCTCCAGAGGAAGATTCCTGGAGGATTGGCTCAAATCACTGGGCTGGGAGATTCCCAAGGAACAAAATCATGGAATGGTTTGGGTTGGAAGACCTTGAGGATCGCCGGCTTCCAAGCCTTTGCCATGGGACAACTTCCATGAAAATGGGGGCAATCCCTGGTTTTGGGGGTCTGGAAAGGCAAAATTCCCTCTGGGCTTCCAGTTGAAATTCCAGGCTCCACCTGTAGGAGGTAATTTCCCTTTTCCTTTTTCCTTTTTCCCGTTTCCCTTTTCCCTTTTCCCTTTTTCTTCCTTTTTTTCCTTGCCTTTTTCCTTTCCTTTCCTTTCCAGGGCAAAACCGATGGAAAAAATACTCTGGGAAAAGTGGGGGTGGCACAATGGGGACCCTTCTCTGCTTTTAGGAGCTCCAGATTTGGCTCCTCCTCCTCCTCTTCCTCCTCCTCCTTTTCCTCCTCCTCTTCCTCCTCCTCGTCTCACAATTTCCTACAAAAACAAAATTTGTTTGCCCAGAAATGAGGGAAAATCTGAATGGAGGAAAATTTGAATCGAGGAAAACCTGAATCATTGGCTTGGAATAAAAATCAGCAAAGGGGCTTTGGGAGGAAAAAATCCTCCCACGGGGAATCTTGGGGTGTGGGAGATGAAACCCCTCAATTTTTCAAAAAAAAAATAACCCAGCTGTGGGATTTGTACCTGAGCCTGCTCCCAGGTGGCTGCAATTCCCAAATTCCAGGATATTTGAAGTTGGGAAAGAGACTCTTTTGGATTTGGGGTCTCACCTTTGGATTTGGGGTCTCACCTTTGGGTTTGGGGTTTCTGTCTTGGATTTGGGGTCTCTCCCTTGGACCTGGAGGTTTCTCCCAAGGATTTGGGATCCTGTGGATCACCAGGCTGGATCCAGCATCATCCCTGACTCGATCCCAGAGGATTCCTGGGATTGGGATGAGGATGGATCCCAACCATTCCAGGGCTGGGATGAGGACGATCCCCGCGAGCCTCAACCCTCCTCCCTCCCCTCTTCCCAGGAATCGGAGCCAGGGAAAAGGTGCTGGGAATTCTGGGGGAGGCGACGCTCCTGCGGATCCCCCACGAGCTCCGGGAACGCACCGAGGAATTCGGGGAAGCCTCCTGGAAAAAAACCATGGAGGAGCCGCTGAAGAAGAAATTCCTGCTGAAGATTTCCGGCGGGAATTACACGGAGTTCGAGCCGGAGCGGATGCGTTTCCACAAGGAGGACTTTTCCCTGGAAATCCTCAACACCAGCCGGGATGATCAGCGGCTCTACGAGTACAGCGTCAGCAAGGGGCCGGAGGAGGAGGTCTGGCAGATCCAGCTGGAAGTGTTCGGTAAAAAATTCCTCTGGGAATTGCCGTGATGGCGATCCCGGCTTTTTCCTGGATGATTCTGGCTGTTTCCTGGATGTCCCAGGCTTTTTCCTGGATGATTCTGGCCGTTTCCTGGGTGTGCCAGGCTTTTTCCTGGATGTTCCTCCAGGATTTTTCCTGGATGTTCCTCCAGGCTTTTTCCTGGATTTTCCTCCAGGCTTTTTCCTGGATGTTCC